CTAATATTTAAGCTCCATTTTATGATTAAGCCGCTGCATCTCGAATAATTAGGCTTCATTTTGGATTTTTTCAATACAAAGTTTCATCGATATGTTTTCGAGTATGAATAAATAAGTAAATATTATGAAGCTAAAGTTAAATTAACCACAGAAGACAAACTAAAACGCCGAAAAGCAGCTGGTAATAAATTTAACCTTTCGTATTCAGATTTTTCAGCTAATTGTTCGAAATCTTATAATTTTGTGACAGGAGACCACAACATTAAAAAAGATAACTAAAATTAAATTAAAAATGAGACAATACATATTTTATTTATTTTGATTAGATATTTTTATTTATTTATTGAAAAATAAATTAATCCTTCGTATTTTGTTTTTTATTCGAAGGAAAAATCAAAAACACTTGAAAAAACCGAAACACAGTGTTCTAATCTTAAAATGTAAGTCGTTATAAAAACTAAGGCTCCGGCATCATAAAAGTAGATCTTTAAATTGGATAAATTCGAAAAACTTAAATAAGCCGAAACGCAGTGGCGTAATCTTAAAATGGAGGTCATTTTCAAAATCTACGACTCCGGAAACATAAGAATACACTCTTTTATGATAAAAATTCGAAACACTTAAAGAAATCGAAATGCGGTGGCCTAATCTTAAAATGGAGGTCGTTTTCAAAATCTACGGCTCCGGAAACATAAGAATACATCCTCATATGAAAAAAATCTGAAAAACTCAAAGAAATCGAAACGCGGTGGCCTAATCTTAAAATGGAGGTCGTTTTCAAAATCTACGGCTCTGGAAACATAACAATACACTCTCATATGAAAAAAATCCGAAAAACTTAAATAAGTCGAAACGCGGTGGCCTAATCTTAAAATGGAGGTCGTTTTCAAAATCTACGGCTCCAGAAACATAAAAGTAGACCTTTATATTGGATAAATTCTAAAAACTTAAATAAGTCAAAACACAGTGGCGTAAACATAAAATGGATGTCATTTTCAAAATTTACTGATCGGGAAACATAAAAATACACCCTTATATCGAATAAATCAAAAAAACTTAAATGATTCGAAACGCAGTCACTTAATCTTAAAATGGGGGTTATTTTCAAAACTAGGTACAGGACAGCATAATACAAGTCCCTAATAAATCCGAATAGGTACAATAAATCGATATCCATAAGTGAAAATTCTACTTAGGAGAGCATAATAATAGACTTTCATATTGGAGGGGGAGAGGGGATGGCCATTATTTAAAAAAATATATAAGATTTACAAAAAATTAAAACATTAATTTGAAATGAAAACGGTTGAATTTGAATTGGAAAAGGTTTAATTTGAAATGGAAATGGTTGAATTTACTTGGAAAAAGTTTAATTTGATATGGAAAAGGTTGAATTTGACTTGGAAAAGGTTGAATTTGACTTGGAAATGACATAGAAATATCACGCTGAAAAAATCTAAAATGTTAAAATAAATGGATATGCAACCGCGTTATCAAATTTTTTTTTTGTATTTTTCAAAAGCTATGCCTTCGATAATATAGTAAGTGGCCTTCATTTCGAAAAAAAACGAAAATTGACGAAAATTCGAAAGTTGAATTTGAAATGGAAAAGGTTGAATTTGACTTGGAAAAGGTTGAATTTGAAATGGAAAAGGTTTAATTTGACTTGGAAAAGGTTGAATTTGATTTGGAAAAGGTTGAAATTGACTTGGAAATGCTATATATATATATATATATATATATATATATATATATATATATATATATATATTAAACATTTAGGGAATAAGAAATAATCTTTATTAAATAGCTACAAAAGAATTACAAAAGAAAACTGAAATGACGTTAAGCAATGAGAAAGTTAACATTTAGGTTATAAAATGATTATTGAACTTAAATATAATTAGTCTTTTTATTTCGTCCCTTTTAGGTATGGTATTTAAGCACAGCAATAATCTCAATCTTTCAGTACAGTAGAATATGTGTGAGATTATATTTTTTATGTTTTTCAGGGATAGGAGTGTTAGCACTTGTTTACATTTCCTTTAATTTTATTTGTTAATAATTTTCTTAGAAAACCTCTTTCAATTTTTCATTTTCTGATGAACAATAATCCTGAAATTTCCTAAAAACTAATTTGACATTCTCAAATTATTTTATATTTAATAAAATATGGTGCTAAAAAATACAATAGGTAGAAGAGGCTGTCTCCTACTTGGTTAAGTAGGATTCATAAGAGGAAGATGCATACTAGATCTTCATCCTGAAACAGTTATTCAAAAACAATGGGAAGTAGCTCAGAAAGTAGAGTATCTTATTGGCCGATTTCAAAAGCCAATGATTCACTGAAAAAAAACTGTATTTGTAAGATAATAATTTGGAAATTGGTGATATTGATGAAGGTGTGTACAAATGACCCCACAGCTGAGTCCTGGAATAAGAAGAAGTATCTAAAAACACTAAATCTCAGACTACTTCGGGGCAGAGGAGAAGAAATCTTACTGATGATATTAAAGTTAGCCCTGCAGAAGGTGATAAGAACAATATCACATGAAAACGGTGCGATGCGAATTAGAATGAATTAGAAAATCTCAAAATATGCAGGTGATATCCTGTCCATAAAAGCAACCAAGGAGACATTGAGACTTGCTAAGACTCTGACAAGTGAATCAGAACAAATCAGCCTTGCCTTCAAATGAATAAAGATAAAACAAAATAAATAATAAAAAGCTGAAAATTCCATACCAACAATAGGATCTACTTAGAAGGAAAATAGAACCTCAGAGTAATAAATTCAAATACCTCAGCTCCACAATAACCTCAATGAATTAACAGTCAGAAATAAACCAGTTATAATACAAGCACAAATTGATGTTTATTTACTCTTTAAAAGGTATTGAAACCTAAAAATATCTCACTCACTCACTGCATGGCATTCAAAAATATCTCAAGAAATCTAAAATTAAGGTGAACAATGCTATGGTTTAGCCATAAATTATTGAGATTGCATCCTTTTAGTAATTAATACAGCATAAAGCATTTGGAAATTCAAGGCAGGAATCCTTACTGCTGTAAGATATATGTACATATATTTGTTTTATGAAGTAGCATTACTGTATTTAATACCAGATACAGCCATAATTGAGCAGATGAAAATTCTTAGGCCACAAGACAAAGAGGCCAATAGTTATTTGTATAATTCTAATTTATAATAATAATAATTATCATTTAATTTTTTGTTTATTCATAAAGGCTAACTGAAAATAGTGATTGACCAAGTTAATGTTGATTTTATAAATGGTTTATGGGTTGTTTTAATAAATGCAAAACATTGAAGAAATAACAAGCTTTATTAAACTTAACATAAACAGTACATATGTGTTATATATATTAATATTAATGATATATCAATCATATCTTATATCGATTATATGAATTAAAAATATATAATAGCTATAATTGGATATCATAGCTAGCTGTTTTCTTATAGCGAAATAAAGCAGTATTAATATGAAACCCGTAATAACTTGTAGATTTACGATGATAATTCTTCAAACTTCTCCGGTTATTGTCAAAAATGAGAACAAAGCTCTGCTTGGTTTATGTAAATGTGGATTTAATAAAGATAAATACTGCATTCCTGAAGGTGTCCTACAGCCTAAAGAAGATTTGCAGTCCTGCGCTATTAAGAACCCTAAAGAGCAGTGTGGTATCACAATAGAGAAGTTAGAGGAAGTTGGAAAGGTAAAAGTTAAATTTGCGGGTGTCCAAGAACTGCTTTAGTTCCACATATTTATGTCTGACTCATACTCAGGAGACATTAAAGTAACTAAAGAAATGACACCAGAGTGGTTCCCCTTGAATGAAGATCCCTATGACAAAATGTGGCAATATATGACAGTCTGGTTACCTCATGTACTTAAAGGGAAGAAAGTCAAGGCATTCTTTATTTACCAAAACGAAGAGCTTATTTATCAAGATTTAACAACAGAAGCTAATTTTGGGCCTAGGACATCCTCCAGTGTTGCAATAGTATGAGTTAAAGTACGAGTTGAAATAGTGATGAAAAAAATTTACTTGACAAAATATTTTATCATTCAAGATCTATTTGATTTGATTTACTTATAAATACTTATAAAGTACTGCAAATTCAAAGCTCCAAAGCATCATTTTTTACTACCAAGAGGCGTTTGGAGGAAAATAAGGCAGTATAAGCATTACATCTTTCCAAATAGAATTATTTTGTTTCTGATAAAAAAAAAAAAAAAAAAAATTAATAAATAAATAAAAAATAAATAAATAAATAATTAAAAAATAAATAAATAAAAAATAAATAAATAAATAATTAAAAAATAAATAAATAAAAAATAAATTAATCAATTACTAGAAAGAGGGCTATATGTGTGTATATATATATTACAACATATGTGTTATTTATATTTTTAATTCATATAATCGATGTAAGATATGAGATCAATATATTATTAATATTAATAAAATTAATTTCAACAGTTACAGGTGATCTTTTGCTAGAAAAACTCATTTTTTTGAAAAATATATACAAATTTCTAAATATATATATATATATATATAATCACTTAATGGAAATCTTGAAAATAGGAGAAAAAAAAGATAGAAAATAAACACTTTAAATAAAACAACAAAATCCTGAGTGATACAAATTGGTGAAATACAGGGGAAAATTAAAAGTTTTCAGCTATTATTAAAATATAGCTGCTGCTGCTACCTATGGCTGTTTTCAGTGATATATTATAATCGTTTTTTTATTAAAACTGAAAAATGTAATTAAAAACAAACATAATAACTAAGTAATAAACATAAATAAAATTAGTAGTTTAAAAAGTAAAAAAATATATTCTTCTCAAACAAAAAAAACTATTGTACTGTTAATATATATACAAATAAGTTAGTAGATAGCCATTAGAAAAAATTGATTCACAAGGTTGTTATGAATTTATTACAACTTCAAGGACACTTACTTCCTGATCAGGACCAACTTTGGTTGACTTTCGGTCCCTCAACAGAAGGCAAGTTTCTTCTAACCTTAAAAGCCGCTGATGTTCTTTCTCTAGTTTACGTTTCCACATTTCTTCTCTCTTGGTAATAGCTTCAATGCATTGGGCCAATCCAGTTAGAACTGCTCCAGAAGTAGCTTTAAAAGTCATTGCTTCTCCCTTGAAATCAACAGCAGCCACCTTTCCATTGATATTTTCAGCTTCATCATCTAAACATGCATTATATCAGTAGAAAATCATTTTACTCAAAAATTAAATACATGGTAACAGTATCAATATGTACAAACACAGAACTTGAATCAATAACATCTGTAACAAGAGAGTATAACACTTGTATTAAAAAAAAATACTAAACATTTATTATTTACTTTTAAAACCATTGGTACTATTTACTTGATAATAAACAGAATTTATTATGCAAGATAAACTCATTTTAAACAAACAATTTGTAAATATAATCAATTACTCCATATCTGAGCTTAAATATTCGTTAACAATTTGGCACTGTTATGGTATTATAAAAACATTTAAATTACAACAGATTTTTATAACTTAATATTAAATAATTTAAAAAACGATTAATAGCACAATCCATCAAAATTCGCAACTTTGACATCCATGAGTTTTATCATGCATGAATACTAAAAGGCAGAAGAATTCCATATTTGGGAATTGTGTACTTGACCAATTTGGGATGAGAAAAATATCATCTAAATAATAAAATACAAAATATTTGATTTATGTAAAAAGCAGAAATGGGAGTTCGGTCTGGACCGTACACTTAGTAACATCGTCTCTGTACTACTTAGTTTCACGTTTAGAAATTGTACAACTATGTCGAAGATTTTTTACATAGTTAAAGATAAAGTGTTAATGAAGAGGTTAGTAAAATTTGGTGACAATAGTGGTGCAGATAGTTTTACAATTACATTAGTAATCTTTGGCAAATATCAGGGCAATGCACTAATGTCTAGGGAGCAAAATATTTTTGAGGAGGAGCAATCATCGGGTCTGGTCGGCATATACTGTCAACGCTCGGCCTTCCCTCCCCTTTTCAGTTCAACTTACTACAGTCGGCCTTGTTTTCTCTAAGCTCTTGCACAGGATACTTCTCTTTGTGTTCTCTATTTTAATTATAAGTTTAATACAGTTTTTAAAACTATAGCTTTTTTTTTTATCAATTGATCTGATTTTCAAATATTGCCTTACTTTTGTTGTTATTACCATGCAAAACTCAAAATTTTACTGCCAAAGTTGCAATAAATCATTTGTTAAAAAAAGTAATTGGGTGAGACACTTATTGATTCATGACAAACAAAAGAGTTACTGTTGGGTGTGCTTCAAAGAATTCAACAGTCAATACATTTTTCAGAGACACATAAATATTCATGCTAAACAACTACAGTACGTCTGTAATTCATGTAATAAAGTTTTTGGACGTAAGGACAATTTAAAAAGACATATTTCTTTAATATAGTGTTCACTGTATAAATGATAAAATATTTAAGTGTCATGAATGTCCTAAAACTTTTAAAACCGAAATGTCACTGGATGAACATGGAAAATTTCATTCTGAAAACCAATTAACGTCAGAACAAAAATTTTAAAAATGTCCAATCTGCAATTTTACTTGGGTCTAAAAAAGATATGTTAATTCACTTTAAATACAATCACGATATTCATTATTCATATCAAAATATAACTTTTCATGATGAAGGCAAATTTCAGGAATGGAAAAGTTTGGTTGAGGGTAATAACCAGGCATTTGTTCTCAAAGTAAATTACAAAGGCAAAGACGGTTGTTTTTTTAAAACTAAAATTAAAAAATCTATTAGGAGATTTTTTAAATGTCATAGAGATGGAAATTTCAAAAGCCGAAGTTCAAATAAAAGACATCTAAAAATAATGGGTACAAATAAAATTAATGGATATTGCCCTGCACAAATGGAGATTACCTCCAAAGGGAAAAATAAGATCATCATGCGATTTCAGAAATCACACATTGGTCACTTTTTGGAAATGGGGAGGTAACATTTATCAAAAACATCCAGAGAGATTTTAGCTTGTAAAATTGCTCTAAAAATCCCATTTGAAACGATTCTCGATGAAGTTCGAGCAACAATTTGTAAAGATGATTTTATTATGTAAAGATAAAACATTTGATAATTGGTCTCTCAGTATTTGCCTATTTTTCAACGGAATCTCTCTTTTTTTCATTGAATATAGTTCACGTGGAGATCAGAGCAGTTGATATTTGCTGTTAGATATCTTTTTTTATTTTTTTTCCTTTTTTCTCTTATGATATGTGGTATGATCACCAAGTGATGTCCGGTAAGATGCCCAAGAGGACTTGGTCAGACGGTGTTAGTACACTTCGTAGTTCACTAGCCAAACAAACATCTCGTCGCTTTCTACGAGAAACACCTCCAATAACCAAAGTGAACACTTCAGAACCAGAAACTCAGCCCCAGCCAGGTATTATTTCGTACAGAAATAATCGAAGAATCCCATTCTTTTACTCAAAACCTCCACCAAGTGCTTCAAAATGACCGAGAAATAATGGGAGTCTGCAGCTATACCCCGGGTACCAAGACCTCTAATATTTGTGAAAAATTTCCAGTTGATCTGCACCTTATTGTCACCATCTGCCGTGTTGCGTGAAATGCAGAGAACAGCACAAATCTGTGGAGTGTACCAAACCAATACAAGATCCTGCAGTGTGTGCACTATGCTAGGAGAGATACCCAGCTAACTACAAAGGCTGCCTAATTTACAATAATCTCAAATCTAAACACCAGAAAAACTGAATTTAAGATGAAGCAGTAAGACCAAGAAGAGAGAGAGAGAGAGAGACTTCTAGAATAGTGAACAATAGTGTATCATTTTTTCAGCTACTAAGAGGTAATGACTCAACCGATAAATGTCAAGCCCTGCCGCAACAACAACCTCAACCCCAACCTCAAAATCCTATTGATCCTAATATACCTAACCATCAACAACAACTTCATCATATCCCTCCTCCTTCAAATATAACAGATCTCACTAGTTTGTTAGCATCTTTCCTCACTGATTTCAAATCCCTAGTTACTCCACTCATATCATTCCTCACAAATCTTGTATCTCACCTCATATCTCCTTTAAAAAATCCTTAATGACTCACACCCCAAACCCATATCCATTCTCCTTTGGAATGCAAACGATGTTAAAAATCACGTTGATGAACTAACAGCTTTACTACTGGACAAGAACATAGCAATAATTACGGAATCTCGACTGACCAGAACAGCTTTTAAAAATACCTTAATACATAACATACCGTACTGACCATCCTGACGGTAGAGCACATGGTGGTACTGCTGTTATTGTACACCAATCTCTTTCTCATCACCAGCTCCCATTAATGACTCAAGATTTCCTAAAATCCACCACCATCGTAATCAAAACCTTCTCCTTTCCCTCACCTTAGCCTCAGCATATTGCCCTCCTAACAGATCCATCTCCAATGTCTAGTTCAGTTCTTTTCTCAACTGCTTAGGACATCACTTCATCCTGGGTGGAGATTTAACGTCAAACATCATCAATGGTGTTCTATAGAACATTGCTATCTGCACTCAATTCACAAAGTTTTAGTCTCCTTCCTCCTAACTCACCTACCTACTGGTCCACAGATCTTAACCGCAATCCCGATATCCTTGATTTTTTCATCCACAGTGGCTTAGGTCTCCTCATCATTCCCTTACCCATCTTGACGAACTTTCCTCAGATCATAGTCCATTATTACTCCAATTATCTCTAGCTCCTATTCCTAAGCCTTCTCCACCGTCCTTCATCAGAGGCCCAGTTAACTGAAAACTCTTTCACCAAATCCTTTATGATAAAATTGACCTCAGAATAACTCTGAAAACCTCATAAGACCTTGACAATGCCGTACATTTCTTTACCATTACTATACTACAAGCAATCTGGACTGCTTCCTCTCCAAACCACTCATCAAGAACTCCGAAGAAAAATAAGTTACCTCAACACCTCATAGACCTAATCCACACCAAACGCCATACCAGATTATTATGGCAACGTACTAGACACCCCATCAATCGTCAATCCTATAATTACTTCTGCAAAAAATTAAAGCAGGAATTGATCACCTTCAGATCCCAATCCTTTAACTCCAACCTTACTTCTCTCTCTGCTCATGACAATTCCCTATGGAAGATCACTAAAAAAAATCCTAAAACCTCATCATATTTTACATCCTCTCCGTCAAGGTGATGGCTCTCGGGCAGCGTCTGACAAAGATAAAGCCGAGGAATTCTTTAAACACCTTTCTCTTACATTCAACTCTCATACGGAATCCAACCCCATCCACACGTCAGCGGTAGAGGAATTCCTTAATTCACCCATCCCACTCTCCTTACTGACTAAAGCAGTTAATCCTTCTAAGGTCAAATGTCACTAAAAAAAACTACCTATCCACTAATCACCTGGATATGACCACCTTACCTCTCAGATCCTAAGACAACTTCCTCCTAAAGCTGTCATATTCCTTACATACATATACAATAGCATCCTATGAACCATCCACTTTCTTCTTTTATGGAAACATTCTACTATTATCCTATTTCCAAAACAAGGCAAACCTGCTAATAGCTTAACTTCCTACAGAGCCATTAGCCTACTTCCAATCCTTGAAAAGATACTCCTGAACCGAATCCTACCCTTTATAGGATCTCAAAATCATTCTTCACATCAGTTTGGATTCCGTTCCCAACACTCCACAATCCAACAAGGACTTTAAGAGGTCGATCATATTTCCGCAGCCCTGGAAAGCAAGCAATATTACTTGGGTGCATTTCTATAAATAGCTCAAGCTTTTGTACGGGTATGGCATGCCGGGCTTCTTTTCAAACTTAAAACACATTTGCCTCAGTCTTTATACCTTGTCCTCTACTCCTACCTCTCTGATCGTACCTTCCGAGTTCGCTGCGGCACTTATCTACAAGACAATACTGAAACCTACTTGGACTTACGGACTTTAACTGTGAGGAACAGCAAAATTTTCCAACATAAAAATGTATGTGGCTAAAGTACTCTCGCTCAGTTTCAACTGGATTTAACCCCAGTGAAACGGTTGAGAGAGAAGCACATGGATCTCCTGGAGTCATGCTTTTCCCTCCACAGTTGGAGGGACAAGTCTAGCTCGGAGTTCTCT